TCAGCTGCAAGTCTGGGAATAAGATCCGAATTTTATAGTTAAGCACTGACTTCAGACTTCCAGGTCTATGTGACCTTGACAAGTCACCTAACTTCTTAAGTGTTTGTTTCCTTATCTGCCAGACTGAGAATTACCTTAATGTGCAAAGATTGATTATTGTTTTTGAACACTTGGAGAATCCAAGAAGATTCTACATTTGTATGTAACATGTGAACCTGGCAATTTGGGTGGAGATAATACACCATCTGTTTATGGAAAAAGAAGTTGGTTTTGAAAATCAAAATCTTGCTGCTCCTGACAAGGAAAATGGCTGCTGGTTTTATTTTATATGTAGCTGCACAAATGTCTTGCTTAAAAGGATCACATTCTTTTCTCTGTTTCCAGCAATAAAACTGGGGAAAATAAATAATACAGTTATGCAGGAAAGAAATGATGCAATTAAACATGCTGTTAATACTAAAAAAAGGAATCCACCTCATTATCTTATTTTGTGTTTTGCAGTTTTGTTACGATTGTGTTCCAAGTGTTGAGCCTAGCAGAGCTTAGAATGAGAGGATAGGGGCAGGGAGCAAAAGACTGAATTGTTTCTTATGGATAATCTTAAAATATATTTAATTTTAAGGTTGGCTGTAGACATTTAAAACCTATGAGAGTGTGTGTTTGATGTTGACGGTAGGGATTAATCAGCCAAAGTAAATGTCAGCGATATGAGTCAATTAGGTCAGATAACCACTGTGCCCTATGTCAATTACAAAGCTAATTTTTGATAACACAAGACCTTTCTATACTTTCAGTTACTGTGCTTCACACATGACCATTTTTTGTATCTCTTTACCTTTTTAGAGCAATGTTAGTCTTGGCTGTCCATGAGTATATGTCAACAGTCCAGCAGTTTGATTAAATGAGACTGGGAATGCATCTACAGAATGAACAGCAGGCAGTCTCATCTAAGCTTTATTCTTCTATCCTAATTTTCTAAAGTAATAATGTAGTTTCAGTCATTACATTCAGTAGTAAATACTGATTTTAGCATTCTTGTTTTCTTACATTGCTTCAGTAAAGTGAACAATACTCAAATATAAAAGCTGCAGCTTAATACAGCTTTAATTGATAAAAATTGAGTGCAGGCACTTGCTCTTCTCAGCATCTTGTATGGCACTGCAGCTGTTCGAGGCATCTTCTGATTGGTGTCTGTGCCAAAAAATACTTGTGTTTGTACTGGTAATAAGAGAATCATTGCTTTGACTTTTCTTATTCAGATATCATCTACAAATACTGTTTAAAAAATTTAGGACATTTTAAAACATTGCTTTTCCAAGCTGGGGCCTAAAACTCAGTTAATGAGAGGTACTTACAGAGTTAAGCCAAGTACAGGCTTCTGTGCAGATGACTGAATCAGCTAGACAACAGCAAGAAATGTAGCTTGAAGGAGTTTGGGCCGTGTCCAGGCTGGTTCCTGGTGTTGAAGCAACTGTAAGTGCAGCTTTGTTGGTGTGTCTTAGCTAAGTTGCATAAGGTCATCTTGCTACAGTTAGTATCCTGGGTGATTTTGTAACCCGTTTTCTAACAGATACAGAAGAAACTTGATGTCTTCACTGCTTTCATTCTAGCAGTTTAGAAATAGCCAGTGTTTTCACCCTGAATTTGAGGATGGAGCGTGAAATTGCCAATACAGAAAGCCATCTTCAGCATGTTGCAAATGGTGTTGGTTTTTTTTCTCACTTTGTAACTCTGATGGATTATGCTGTTTGTTTTGCTAATGCTTTCAGGAAGTGCTTTCTGCATGTTCGTATGAAATAAAGTAAAAAAAACCCACAACTTTGTCCCAAAGATTGCATCCATATGGATGTTGGAAGGTGGAAAAAACCCCCTTGTGCGTAGCTGTACCTTGATAACAAGGGGGAAAGTTCTATCTAGAATCAGTCGTTTTAGGTGCCTTTTCAGTCCTCATGTGTTTTTAATTGTGGGTTACAGTCTAAAGAACCTATTTCAACATACCTCGCATATACTATGACACTTGAAAAGCTGCAGTGAGTAGGCAGGGTTGTCAGCTATGAAGAACAGGCTTTGAAGTGTTTGTTTTAGTACTTTGAGATTTATGTCTTGAATTCCAGAGATATTTTGCAATTGCAAATGTGAATACCTTAGCTTGGGGTAGCAAGCTAATACTAGAAAAAGGGTATATTTCCACATTTCTGGAGAGAAGTGAATGCTTCCAGTAGCACTAAGTTGCATGTTTTTCTGCCCTGAAATAAAAAGAGCAATTCTTGTATTGGTTGTGTTTTCTGGTATTGTTTGCCTTGCTTTGTCTGCATCTGTTACTAGCAAGTGTGGCTTGCCTCACTGATACAAATAAACACGTAATAAATGAAGTGCCATACCCCTCGAGTAAACACACTCCCCTAGCTCCGTGCAGGGTCAGATGACGTGTGTCTGTCTGGGATTCCGGGGATGTGCAGCCAGACGTGAATGACTGGACGGCATCAGCCGGATCCGAGCACAGGATGGGTTGTGTAGAGTTGGCGATGTTCTAACACAGACGGAGCAGCAGCCATCCTGGGAGTGGAGAAGGAAGGGCTGCAGGGCAAGGCAGGAAAAGCGGCTGGAGATCTGGATGGAAAGAGTCATGAGTATTGCTTGCTGTCTCGTGGCAGGGGGTTAAGGAGAACTACTGCTGTGCTGTTCCAGGATTGCTGTCTGAAAGTGCAGAATGCTTGCTCTTAGTGTGACATTCATATTTGGGTTATATTGCTGTTACATTTGTTAGCCTGCTTGAAAGCAGAACTGATGGATGATCACCAAGAGCATAAATATGCCTGGTCTTCTCAGGTTCTTATCTTTGTCTTTGGTTGCCTGAGTCCACCCTTTTAGCCAACCTTTTCTGAGAGAAATTGCAGTTATCCTGTCAGATTTTCAGACTATCTCACTCCATCTGTCAACAGCAGTCTGTCAGTTTGAGGGTATCCGGTTGGTCCCCCGAGTTTCCCAAGATAGAGCTAAACTTTTAAATCATGTTGGATAAAAAGATTGAAGCAGCTCTCTTCCTGACTCGTTTCACGATTGTCATTTTTCCTTAATACCTGTTCTTAAATTCAATGCAGAGATTGTTAGGTGCAAAATACTATAACCATTAAATTGGAAGACCTTTCTGTCAAGCTCTCAATTTTTTTTTTTTTTTACATGGAGCTGGTGGGAAAAGAAATTATTATTAGGAAAAGGAACACTTAATAAGGATACTTAATAATGGAATGGTGCTTAAGAGGCTTTGTCAATAAGCAGTTTCAGGCCACGCTCTGAAGAACAACTTTGGTGTCCCAAAGGATTTTTACAGCTATGCCAGTGAGTCTAATTACAGATAATATTTCTCTCGCTTAACTCATGCCTCAGTTAGATCCTTACATCAGTGAGGCTGCTGTAACAGTAGTGTTAATATTGCCTTTTTGTAATTTAGTTAATTGACTGTGACATACACTGGAGTTACATATGTGTGGAATGAGTAAATTGCTTCTTGTCTGATCAGATGGATCTTAATAGTTTGTGGGTTTATTTTTTTAGGGATTATGTGAGGAGCGAGTTGGAATCAGGATATGAAGGGCCCATGTACTTGGAACCTCTCTCCATGAATCGTTTCATGACTGCTTTAGTGGGTAAGTGCTTTAAATATTTGTGACACAGGAGAGAACTCTGCCTAATTCTCCTTGTTGAAACACGTTTTACCTCTTGGTTTCAAATTTCTCTTATCGCTTTTAGTAGCTGTGATTCTCATTAATATGCAAGAGGCATGGGAGGCTAGGTGTACCCTGCCTGGCTTTTTCTATGTCATTGATTTACCAGTACTCTTGTACTTGCTGATCTGAAGTATTTTCTAGGTCTGTTTGTCATGCTCTGCCCCTGTGTTCTTCTCAGACTCGCAGTCTGATTCAGAAGGATTAGATTGTCTGTCGTAACCTTTAGGTGGAAAGTACTGTAGAAATTTCAGTAGTGATGTGTATTTGTAGTGGTCTGGTCAATGAAAGTGTTGTACAAGTATTTGTTCTTTATTGGCCATACAGATGAACACTATCATTGTCCTGCAAAAAACTGGTGAAATAGATTTGTGGGTGTGTGCATGGAACTACAGGCTACTTTTTTTTTTTTTTTTTTAGGGGGCCCAGGGAACTTTCTAATTAAAGAGTTAAGGAGTGACAAGTCAAAACTACATTTAAATTGTGTTTGATTAATGGCAGAGGTCACTTCTCTACCTAAAAATTCCAAATAACTCCTGAAGAATTGAACTTTCTAGGCTATTCCTTTATCCTTTGAACTTTGGCTGCAAGTTCAGCGTTAAGGATGCTATGCCGTGCCATATGCTCTACTGAGAGGATATTGGAATACACACACACCATGTGTATTTTAAAATTAAGCCTGAGGCAAGCTTGAAGGAAAAATCTTCCTTAATTCCTTTCACTAAGATCTATAGTTTTCGTCGGATTATTGACAGATTTAGTCAGCCATGTACTGTTGTCAAAACTCAGCTGCTTTCTGTTTACTTGCAGCTGCTACTGGCAGATTTAAATGGGTTTACTTCTTTACAGTATGTTAGGTCTATCAGAATATATACATCGCCATATATACATCGCCTGCTTGCCTGCACCCTGACTTTCAAATGTGGCGTTTGACTCTGCTTTTAATATTTTTTAATAGAAATAACATTGATATTTTTCAAGAAAGTGGAATCTAAATAATTTCTTCGCTCTTCTGAATTTCTAGATATATTTTGCTGTCTTGTCAAGTGACACCAAAGTGCAGCTAAAGCCTTTGCTGCGTTTCTGTGAGAAAATGTTTGTAATTAGTCCTTTGTCATTAGCCCTTTGAATCTCGCTCAGGTGCAATGTAGGGTCCCATGATAAAGCAGAATTCCTTTGAGAGCTTCACAAAGCAGCAGGCAGGTCTGGGCAGGAAGAGATTAGGAGGCATTGTGTCTTTCAGTAACATTTAGACAAATATTAAACTGGGAGTCAAACCCATTATGCTTCATCCGGGTCTTAATATGGAATAAAAATAAGCGAGGAAAAAATAATATTGTTTTTACCCAATACAGTTTTGGGTTGTACTGGGTGTCAGACTAAAATGTCCCCTTATTGTAACTGCTTTTCAGAAGTAGGTGCTTGACTGTACTAGCAAACGTGTGTATGTTAACATACTTAATGTCCCCATTATTAATTTCCCCTGTTCTTTCAACGCCAACTTGAAAGTGTAATTTTAGTCTTGATGGCACATGATCTTCTTTGGGGAAGACCTGTGAAAGCGGGCTATGAAGCTTGACAGTGTTTTGTATAAATATGAAGTACTTTCTCAAATTTTTTACATACAAGGTATTTATCCAGTGCAATCTACCGTGTCGCAGCAGTATACTGCACTGAACTGTGTCATCTTCACAGAAAAATGAATACACAGGTGCTTTGCCTCATCTTTTTCTTACGTGTTCTGCCAGTGTGTTGTGCTCCAGCACTGCTGGCAAAGGCATGGAGGCAGGTGCACAGGGGAATAATTATGCTATTAATACAGCTCTGATCCTGGTTCCTAAAAGTTCTGGTCAGAATTAAGGGGATGATGTACAGTACGCCAGCTGGTTCACAGACTTAATCTTTGTTAATGCTTTTATTTGTTAGTGCTTTTTGAATGGGCTCGCGTAGTCATTTCTTCCCCTGGATCTAATTCAGTCTTCTGACTGTTGACTAGTGTTACTAATGTGCTGGGTGGAAGAAATAGATGTCTTTGAAGGCTGCCCCTTGGATGAGTGTGCCACTTTGTGAGCAGGTCAGCTGTCAACATCGCAAAGCTGCGTGGTTTTGGAAGCAACGCTGCCATGAAGGCTTGTTTTTTCTTAGTGCACAATAATGGGATTATATATTAATTTGAAGACGTCCTGGTTTTCACAGAAGTTAAGGACGTAGCCAGGGAATTTGTTAACATCAGCTTTTTAAAATTGGAAATGAAATAAAGACAATTCCTGCTCAAAGTGGCATGAACAGCGGCTGTACCACATAGGCTTTCTGGTTGCACATTTTCCATTAGCTTATGAGCTGGGAGGCTTTGGCTACCTGACAGCAGTGTTTAATGTATTTGTGGAGGTTTTGGGAAAGGAAAAGAATGGTCAGGAACTTAAGGCAATAGATTTCCTCCTTCTTGCCTCATTTCCTAGCAGAGGAGCCTGGTGTCGTGCAGGGTTCCAGCTGTTGGGTTCATTGACTGTGTCTGGCAGTTTTCAGTCCGTGGCATTTAAGTTTACAGAGTGCAAACATTCAGCTGGATTTGTTAGTCTTACCAGATAGCTAGAACATTAAAATCTTTTTATGATTTGATATGAGGTACAAACTAATTTCTGCTGACTGATCCTGCTGTGTTGTGTGCAATGACTGATGGTGTGCAGCTCCTCTTGGAGATAAGCGACGATTTACTGCAGAGACACTGTCTGTTCTGAGCTAAAGTGCTGCTACCCCAGTTTAAAATGGGAAGTACCAGTCTCTAAAAGCTCCGCTGGAGACATGTTCAGGCCCTTCCTGAAGGGCTTGAGAATTGACACGGTGCGGACTTCAGGAAGGAGGTTGGGGCCTCCAGAGAAAGTGTTCCATGTATTTCCTTTGATGGAGTACAGCTCTCCTTCCCATGGCAAGTAACTTTTGATCTGTGTTTAGATCGGAAAGGTGGGAGGGTCAGAGAGTTTAGCAGGGATTACCGGCATACTCGGCACATCACTGCTGTAGGAAAGCAGGTTTTCCTGGTGTGAGATGAGACTGGACTCAGAGGTCCTGTTTTGTGATTGGAGAGCTCCAGAGTCATCCCAGAGAGCACTAAATTGTTTAATGTGATGTAATTGCAATATTTTGTTTCGGATGATGACACTCTTAATAAATCCTGAAGAACATACTGAATGCTGGTATTTGTGTCCCTTTGTGTGTGAAGCTGGGTTGCCTTAGTTACCATGAGTTGCAGAAATCCTTGCAAGCTGACTGTGCCAGGCTCCTGAACATTACAGCACAGCAGTGTGCTGGTGGTATCTTAAATAGGGTTGTAGCAATGTGTGTGTGGGCAGAGAACAACAAAGTAGAGGGAGAATGCTTCGGAGCTGAAGTCTGTTGAACTTCTGAAAAGATGAGTAGCTTTCTCTGAGGCATGTAAGACCCAGTATGCTGATAGTGTCTTGCTGAGAGCAAGGGTGCTTATTCTGAAAAGACATCTGCTAATTCAGAAATACATCTAGCAAATTGACAGTAGGACTTAAACGTGAAAGAGGACAGCGTGAAGGAGCAAGAATTTTGTATGCTTAAGTAGTAGGGATTAACGATTGCTTTCAGCTCGGTTGCAGTTATTTTGAAAGCAGAAGTCCTCTCCTAGGTCGGAAAGCTAGGCAAAATGAAAACAAAACCCTGGTACTACTGTTTCTCCTCCTGTGGCTTCCCTCCCCAGCCCAGCCAGAAGGGCTTACAAGGTCACTAAACTTATGTGAACACATGGAGTTAGTGCTGACCTAGAGATGTTAACCACCTTGATTTTGTTACTCTGTGTTTTGCTAAGGCTAACTCCTTAGGTTTCAGGAGGAGCTGTGAAGTGCAAACGTTAGTGGAGGTAGCTCCAAAACTGAGCATAAGAACTTGGGTTTAGTACCATGTATTGTGGCTTTTGGTTGTATGCTGACATAGGTGGTGAACAAGGTTCTCCTTTTAAGTAATATGCAGTAAACTTTCCTTACTGCAAAATGATGAGTGAGAGTTGTCCTTATCCAGGCAGTGTGCGTCTTGCCGCATTCTGCTTCATCTGAGATAAAGGGTACAACTTCCCTTGGCTCTAATGGGAGCGGTTATACTGGAGTGGACTGCTCTGGAAATGCCACCCTCCATATCTCTGGGTGTGTGGGAGAGATGTGCTCGTGCTTGTATCCCTGCCAACTGCTAAAGAGAATTTAGTTGTTAATTATCTGTCACTTGCAAGCTTCAGTGATAATTTTGAGCAACTGCCTCAGGGCATTATGAAATTCTTGAAGTCTCAGCTGCTGACCTGGCTGTTTTCCTCTTGCTGCTCTTGGCCAGTAACTCCTCTTGACAGTATAAATACTGTTGTTCTAAAAGCTATTTGGGACCTCTGATTAGTTTTTCATAGATTGGGATAAAATAGTAGTACGGCTGGGCTTCAGAAAAGCTACTGCTGTGTGCACAGATAGTGATGGGATTTAAGTTGAGCTGGGGATGTTAAGGAATAAGAGGGATGACTTGTTGGGTTATCCTCTGCATGATTTATTCCTGGGACTTCATATTAATCTTTGTATCATTCTGCATTGTTTTGGGTTTACATCTCGCAAATCTGTAAAGTGAAAGCATGCACTTCGCGCAGTTTGAAAACGGTAGCTTTTGTGTCCCAGCAAAAGATGCGGAGGTGCCTGGTTTCGTAAGAGGTATTATGTCCTAGTTACAACTGTCGGAATATGCTGGATGTTGATAACTGTGTTATGGAAAGACAACATATTAAAATACGTTTTTTCCTGAAGGGGATAATCAGCTTGATTATAAAATACTGTGTCGCATTTTCAGGTCAGCTGGTGGTCTGTACGCTCTGCTCCTGCGTCATGAAAACAAAACAGATCTGGCTTTTCTCTGCTCACATGCTCCCTCTGCTGGCACGACTCTGCCTGGTCCCTTTGGAAACCATTGTGGTCATCAACAAATTTGCCATGATTTTCACCGGTTTGGAAGTTCTCTACTTTCTGGCATCAAATCTTCTGGTGCCCTATAACTTGGCGAAATCTGCATACAGAGAGCTCGTCCAGGTAAGGCAGCGAATGTAACAATTCTGTTGTCCTTGGCCTGAGCCTTTTTTTTCGGGAAAGAAAGAAAAAATACTTCACCTGTCTTCTGTGCAACTGTGTGTGTGTGTTAACTCATGCCATCTTAGCAAACCAAATGTGTTCCTATCCATAGCATCATCTTTCTTTAATTCATGGTAGCTTATAATTGGTATAGGTGAGCAGTTAAGACATTAGCTTGAATTATGCTGCTGGCCAGCTGAGCATGTTCACTTTGCTTGGACTTTGCTTAGTCCTTCCCAAATCCAGGCTAAAAGACAAGATTGTGGCAGAATGGAATTTATTTACAGCCTTGTTAAGTGAGCAAGGCAGTCCCTGTGCGTTAATTGTAGTAGCTGTTCATTTCAAGAAATGCCTTCTGTATAAAGAGCATTTGTAATTATAGTAGTGTTAAATTGGGAGTAACAGCAAAGCTGATTTTGACTGTAATAAACACTGACTGAGTGATTTGTAACTTGCAGACAGTGATTTGAAAGGTCTGTGGTATTTTCTTTAGAACAGCAGCATTGCTGAGACCTCTAACAAAAGTTAGCAGAAACAGAGGAGACCGATCTGACATGTATCCATTTTGTTAACGCGTTGACATCTGGTATATATTTAGTTGAAAAGACACTTTGTTAGTGATACACAAGCATCACACCTCACATTTTTTAGACGAAAATAAAATATATGTGTATATGCATCATTGTATGTATTTCAATATAAAAAGGTTGATGCTTGCTTGACCTTTGTCTGACCCGCTATTTCAGGTCTCACCTCTTGCTGGATTTTTTTAAAACCAAGCCACTGTTTTTCTGCCTCCTGCTCTTCAGTCCAGAAGCAGTCTGAAAACTTACTTTTTAAGCTATTTCAAAGCCCTCTTTAGAGCTCTTTCTTTGCTGTCATATCTGTCATATACAAACAAAAACTTGGCAGCAGTAAGTGTCTAGTTTGCCAAGGTCTCAGCCTGTCATGTTGATCATTACTGTCTGGTTATTTATTTTGTATGTAATTGGTCTTTGGAGCAGAATTATCCTGCTGTGTTTGTACAGCACCTAGCATGGTCTGATCTCGTCCATAACTAGCTTGTAGATTTGCTGATTAAAAACTAATTCGAGAGCTAACTGGCAAAGCTTCAATATCCTTGTTTCCCAGTGAGAATAGGAAAATCATGCTTACTGTGTACTTACAGTGATAATGTTTGGGTAAAACATTTCCATGTCTTTGTACAGCTCGAAGACTTGCAACAGGTTGGAACCAGCACTTCCATTCCACACTATGTGTGTGAACGGATGCAGAGTTTAGCTTCCTGAAGTCAAGCTCAGAGCAGATTCGGATTTGAGTCATGTATCTATTTTTTAGTAGATGCTATGCTTAAAACACTTCAGCATCTTATGACTATTTTAATTGCAATTGCATTCTGGGGTGAGGGGGAAATAGTTGTTTCTTGCTGGTTTTCTTTTTTTGGGAGGGGGTGAGAGTTGTGTTCTAAATATAGTTGTTACACAAGTCCCCTCATCTCTAGGATTGCTTGGCTTCCCTCCCCCCCCCCAAGTATTTCAAATCTTCGCGTGCCAGGCTGTATGACAGTGTTCCTTGTACATAGCCTTTGGACATCGATCATACTCTTTCTCCTGACTTTTTATGCGGAGGGCATAACTTCTTTTCCTTGGGAATACAGAGAAAAAGGCAGAAGCTTTATAATGTGGCACTGGATTTATAGTAGTGCTGATGCTGCTTTTCAAAATGCATGTAGTAGAGAGTGGTTTGGAATGAAAAGTTGTGTGTGACTGGTTTTTGCATTGTAATGACAATGTGGGAAAACAGGATTTTTGTTTTTAAAGAGCTTGCTGCTCTTTGCTAATGTTTTTGAAACTGAACAGAAAGAGCATTGGCTCATAGTGCGTTTGTATAACTGGTTGCAGCTCCACTACAAATCAAGCTAAATATGCTTATTCCAGAGGAGGATATTGCCCTTTTTTCTTGAATATTTTTCTACGTCTATTTCCATCACTATAACTTTGTGCAGTTTAGTTTTCAGTGATGCCATCATCCTGGTGTTTGTCAGTTGGTATCAGTGGCAAAACTTAGTGGATATCGGGACGTCAAACACCAGGAGTGTTTTCTGGATGCAGCACCGTAGGGGAGAGCCCTAACTGGTGGGCCAAGGCAGCTGTGCGTGCATGTGTGTGTTGCAGACGGTGGCTATAATTTAAAAGCAGGTCCAGAACCTTGGCTGCCTACTTGCAGCAGCAGATGTCAGAAATACCTCATAGTTGCGAATCTGGTTTATAAGCGTAGCGTGACCCTTTTCCAGTGTGGTGGAGCACTCTGCCAGGAGCAGCGTAGGATTGCGTGCAGGCCAAGGGAGCCTCCTGAGGGCAGATGCACTTCCTTCACAAGTCTGTGTGCAAAGCTAAAGGCGGGAGCTTGGCACCGCGTCCCTGCCAGCAGCATATTGCTCGTCGATCGGCCGCAGTGCCTACTGCGGCAGGTCCCGTGAACCTGGGCTGTCCCTTTGTCAGACTGTAGTTTGACGTACCTCCTCTTTTCCTTCGGGATGGCTAATGGCATGTGAATTATCCTTAGCTTCCTTCTGGCTACGTTGTTGACTGTCTTTTTGTTATCAAATCATAGGTGCTGTGACCCAATAACAAACTGCATTTTTCTGTCTTGCCCAGGTGGTGGAGGTGTATGGTCTCCTGGCTTTGGGGATGTCTCTCTGGAACCAGCTGGTCGTCCCAGTTCTTTTCATGGTGTTTTGGCTTGTCTTGTTTGCTCTTCAGATCTATTCCTATTTCAGTACACGGGACCAGCCTGCCTCAAGAGAGAGGCTCCTCTTCCTCTTCTTGACAAGGTAATGAACTAGTCTGCAAATAGTTGGTCTTCTGTTTCGACTGTCTTCTGAAATGAATATTTGTGCTCTTTTAGAGACTAGATATGTAGATTAGCTTTATTGCATTTGGATACTCAACAAAAATTTGTCCTTATTGCAGCAACCATGTATGTAAACCCTGTTAAGCTTGTCCTTCAGGGGCATGGATCCCGTTCAGAACAGATAGCATTAGTAGAACTGTGGGAGAGTTCCCAAAGAAAGCAGAATATTCCTTTGAGGGAATAGCTATAACCAGAGCTTTGGTCCAGAAGTTGTTTTCAGTATACAAATTAGTTTTAAGTCTGAGATGCTTCAGCTGGAGTTCAGTCCAACTCATACCTTATTCATGATTGTGTTGCTTTCTGAGCCCCGTATGTCTTGTTTCATCATTCTGGGGTGGGACACATTCTTGAGTTCATCCAAGCAGCCGAAGTACCCAGCTCCCAAAGTAACTTTTGATCCCAGTGGTTAATTTTGCAGAGGTGTGAAGATCTTAAAGGTACCAAATTCCTAAAAGCTTTGTAAAAACTGGTTGTAAGATAAAGGAGAGAGGCGGGGGGTAGTGCTATTATTGAGAGAAAGGCATATTTGGGGGATTCTTCCGGCTGGAACCTATGTGCCTTTGCTGACTGTTGTTTAACTAGAAATTACAGCATACAAAAGGGAGCAGGAGTGTAGGGCAGTGAGAACTGGGTGTCTTGCAGAACATGGGTTAGGCAAATCAGTGTAATACTGGGATGGGGAGAAAAGGGGTAATTGTCTAAACACACAGCTAACATAGGACATATTCTTTAAAGACCACACATCATTAGGCAACTTGAGAAACTTACTCATCAATGCAGTTTTCCAGTCAGACTTTCCAATTGCTTAGCTTTTTCTTGCCTCTGTGTGTATCTATCCATGTGTATCTATCCATAGTGTAAGCTGTCAAAATTCATTATCATTAAGGAGAAATGCCAGGAATTTTATTGTATGTAATACCAAAATTGATTACAGTGTCACTCTGCATTAGGTAAAAGCACTGTATTACCTGGTTGTTAACTAAACCATTGATGTCTGAAGTTTTTCTTTCTGTTCATATCTGCTGGAATTTTAGTTTTGTTACAACAGAGTGCCGCATTTAGCAGTTAGCAGAGGTGGGGGAAGCGATCCTTTTCCTTGTAAATAAGTTGAGTTTATTCCTGTGCTAAATTGTTAGATTTGTCGTATTCATTGCAAAACAGAGAACTTGCTTTGCAGACTTGCATTGACTTGATCTATGAGTGAATGAATACCAACTGATCTTCCTGAAGTTCTCCCAGCGATTGGAAGAATACAGAAAAACTGTTCAAATGTTCTCAGCTCTATCATAGTAGAAAAATTATAAATGCTTATTCATCTTAAAAATACAGACTCAGGTAGCACCACTAACAGCCTCTTACCCCTCAGGAGGGAGCTGAAATACCTTGTCAAGCGAGTTAATGATGTAGTGCTGACTGTTTAACAAAATGGGAGACAAGATGTGCTCTTCCATGAAAGTGAGTGAATTCTGCATCTGTGCCCTTTAAGTGTAATGATTGCTTAAAATAGTGTAGCTGGAATTCAGGTGAGAGCAGTTGGGGTGGGCAGAACAGCCGTGTCTGCTTTTCATAAGAAAGTCGTGAGAGTGGCTGTACTGGGCCAGACCAAATACGGACCTAGCCTAGGGTCCAGTTTGCAGCAGTGGCGGTAAGTGGGTACCTGGAAAGACACCCACCCGTACGTAACAGGGCAGACAGGACGCTTCGTGGTACTCTTCCAGTCCCGCATCCAATTTCAGCTGTCAGGCTGCGTTAGCTGGATATGGTTAGTACGTGTTCAGTAACTCTCAAAAGAGTTCTCTTCCATCAGTTTGTGCTTTCTGCCCTTGGACCCATGTACACTTGCGTCATTTGAAAGATCCTGAGGCAAGGAGTTTCACAGCTTAGCTTGGTCTGTATAATGAAAAATCCATTTTGTTTGTTTGAATCCATGTAGTTTCATTCGGGGCCCCTCAATTCATGTAGTGGTGGTGGTAAGACCAAACAGTTCTTTTCTTTAAAATTGAGAGTAGTGTAGGTCTGTGCTTCCCAGACTGGAAAGCTCTTGCTTGCGTGTTTGCTGTTTGAAAGCTGTTTCGTACCTTTCATTGTCCTTGTTGTTCCTCTCAAAATCTTTTCCATGGGCATGTGAGTGCTGTGATTTTTGAGAAGCTTTGAAGAGTTCAGCTCTTTGGGACAATTTATAAACTTGTACTTGACATATGAACAGAACACTGAAAGCTCCCCAGGCTTCTCTTTGAGCTCTTAAGCTCCTCTGAGACCCTTGCGTAGTAGATGATCTGGAAATAAGTTTAAGAAGGATACTAAAATTACTCTGACAAAAAAGGATTGGGCATCAGGCAGTAAAGCCAGGATTCTTCATTTCTGATAATTTATTTTGAAGCAAAACTTAGACTTGCTCAGATATGCTATAGAATTAGCTGCTTTAAATACTGCGTTTCTCACTGCCTTGACTGGCAGGACCATTTAGAAGCTTTCTCGGCCCTGCTTGACTTGATAAACTGGCAGAATTTGAAGGCTTACCAGAAGCACTGCGAATAGTATATGTAAACACATCGATATTTTCTGCTGTGAATTGCTTTCAAAGGAGGTTTCCAGTTAAAGTAGTCATTAAAAGAGAAAAAGTAAATGTCTCTTGGACGAGCTTTGAAGCATATGCTTCCTCAAAACTCTCTTGTCTTCTCAGAGCACTGGGCTAGTTCACTCTTCAGTCAGTTAATTAGCATGACATGGTTTTGACCACCGTAATGTCTCTCACAAGACTACTATCCTGGTGAACAAGCGAAGATAGATTTTTTTTTTTTTTTT